CTCCTCTCTCTCTCTCTATGCTGCTCTTCTGTTTTATCTAAATCTATCTCATGATATCTTTCTATTCTTTCTTTCTATGCGTTTGCGTAGTCTGTCTGTCTCTCTGACTGACTCTGTGCGAGCGCGTCTCTGTCTGTCTGATCTGTCTGCCTCGCCTATTTGTTCTGCTTCATCTTTCTGTCTGTAAACTGTCTGTTTGTATACGGTCTCTCCTAGCATATATGCCTGTATATGTATACACCATGTAGTTTTGCACACCACACCACGCGCACGCACCATAGCAGTTACTCATGCCCACACCCAGATCACAGTCCACCTCGACCAGTAATGATTCTACCGCTAATCTCTCCCTCTCCGCCCGCAGTCCCGCCCACGTGCGTCGGGCAGCAGCAGCTGACCTACGGCGCCGCCCGACACGAGACGCTGGAGGTGCCGTGTCAGGTCAAGGCACACCCGATGCCTCGTCTTCTTCCGCTGCCATGAGTGCCATGTAAAATGGTATGTAGGGGAAGTGTGCGTGTGTGTGTAATGTGTGTGTGTGTGTGTTTTGTTTGCGAGTGTGGTGTGTGTGTGTGTGTGTGTGTGTGTGTGTGTGTGTGTGTGTGTGTGGTGTGTGTGTGTGTGTGTGTGTGTGTGTGATAAAAAACTGTGTGGTGTGTGTGTGTGTGTGTGTGTGTGTTTGTTAATGTGTGTGTGGTGTGTGTGTTGTGTGTGTACGCCGGAGGAAATCATATCTTTTTGTATGTCATTTCTCTCTGAACATAAATTCAACTAAAGCTGGCTACACACACACACACGCACAGGTAGATAAATAGAGAAATAAATAGATACTAACCATTAGCTTTCGACTTCCCTAACATACGCCAAAAAATTCGTTCGCCAATCTAAATACATACCTTTTCTCCCTCCATATAAATCTCTTAAACACACACGGACACAGTGCCATCCTCCCTACCCTACCATATACGTAAAAACGAATTAAAAGCAAACGAACATTAGCCATTATGCTCTTACCTCCTACCTTTCCCGGCGCGTTAAGGGGCGGACAGCAGCCTCCCCTCAGACACCAGACACCGAGGACCTTCAATACAGGTTTGGTGATCCATTACAGGTGTTCCCCGTTAGCGCCGAGCCGTGTCTGGGAACCCCTTAATTGACACAGAACCGGACTTTATTGTCAGAGATGGACTGCTGTTGCCTTTTATACGCTCTGGTAATGGACACTTCTTTGCCCTCCTCTCGCCTCCCCTCCCCTCCTCTCGCCTCCTTTCCCTCCCCTCTTTCTATCCCCTACCCGATTTCCTCTCTCCTCCTCCTCCCCTCCTTCCCCATCATCAGCCCTCTACTCCCCTCCCCCTTCCCTCATCCCCTCCCTTGTCTC